CAGGTGCTGACCATTGTTGGAGACCGCACACTGAGCTAGCTGGACCAGAGCTCTGGCACTTCCTACAGTCCTCATCATTATACAGATGGGGAGAACTGGGATGCAGAGAGATGCCTTGCCAAGGGCTACTCATCACATCAGTGACAACACCAGGGCTGAAGCTCAGGACTCCCAGACTCAGATTTGATTGAAATGTTTGGAATTTAGATATTTCAGCAAAGTTTCAAGTGTCGACCACAAATAGATTTTCTTTGTTGGCTAACCCAACTTCCCACGGCTGCTTGTAGGTTGGTTAGTTGAAAGGGCATGAGGGCTTCCAAAACTATGAGTAGAAGTTAGGTAAATGACTCCCATTTGTTTTCAATGGGTATTAGACTCGAAACAATCATTTGTGCTTTTGAAAATCTCCTCTCACATTTGTAAAGCTATAACAATGCCTAGAAATCTTAGCCCCACATCTTCCTGGGCTCTCTCCTAGGCCATATAATTGGGGCTGTTGCAGCTGTGAAGCAGGTACATTTGGGCAATGGGTAACATACACTGACCCTATGAGTCATGTAGGCATAAGATCCCAATTAAATAAAAATTACAATAGCAGAACTAAGTGCCGGTAGGTAGAAGATTTAGGAAGTCGCTATGAGAAGTGATGTCTCTTTACAGCACATAACATAGAGGAAGGAAACAGACTCAAAACAAATGAATCCCACATCACCCACAACCCAACCCATCTACGCTGCATGTGGCATTCTCCTTTCAGTGCAGAGAGGCCACCAAACACTTTGCATCCAAATGAAGACATGCAGTTTATATGAGCAACAAATGTCACAGGTAGAGCCATAAATGTGCACACAAGCCCTTTGTGCACCTACACATTTGAGTTACTTTGCATGTAGTAGTTTTGGTTGTGCAAAAGCAGTCCTAGTGACATGATTATCTATTCCCGCCCCCCCCTCCCAAATTTCTGAATGGACTGTGATGAAAAAGTCCACTCTGCTGTTCTGCATTGTATTATGGATGGAAGAAGAGCCCAGTGGGAAAAGTGGGAATGGATTCCCTGGAGCCTGGGAGATCCTACCACTGACTCTGTGAGACCCTGAGTAACTGAGTCCCTTTCAGTCTAGAGAGGTTGTTAGTCATGTTAGTCTCAAATCAGGCCAAAGGCAGGGCAGACTGGCTCCTCCAGAATAACTAATCAATAGGATCTATGGAAGAAGCATGCTCATTGCCAGTTCTACCAGATGAGTTGCAATCTGCAATTCTTGTGATACCATCAACCCTAACAGTTTTTGATGTGCTGGACATGAAAGGAAGGAAAGGACTGTTCCCCGTGTAGGACACAAGGGGGCAGCATCCATCACAGAAAATACACAGGGCACTTCATCTGATCCTGAGCAAGGAAGATCCTGCTTTGTCCCTGGAGCCATGAGCAGGGCTTTTCTATCCATCCTGGCATTCAGAAGAAGTGGAGACAAATATAACATGCTGTACTGATTCTTTCTTTCCACTGATAACAGGGAGACCGGAAAGCACTACAATTTGGCAACCAGAAGTTTAACCTCCATGAGGCTGGGAAGGAGTTTGAGCCCAAGGCCCATAGCCCAGTTCCTGGTTCCACAGATGTCTGCCTGATCTCAGAGACCCCTCCAGACCAGCTGGTGGAGCACCTGAAGGTGGGGCAGGCAGTGTATCCCCCACATGGCATTCTGTCTTAGGGGATGCTGTAGTGGGTTAGGGATGAACAAATCAGGAAAGGGGCTTAGCAGGGGAATGGAGCAAGTGAACAACCCTTTCATCTCTGGAGACCTGGTGCTTCATACTGCATCCTTTATGTGTAAGAATGAGGAGTGACTCTGTTAAGGTTAGTGGGGCCCAGCCAGAAGAAAACAGGTATAGGACAGAGGATACCCATATCCATGAAGCTAAACATGAGTACCCATCAAATGGAATGTCTTGCTTTGGTGCACTTTATATGACAAATACGCACCATGTTCTGTACATAGTGTATGACAGGTTCAGGAGCAGGAGGGCCTGAGTGTCAGGGCTCAGGAGCATCTGCAGCCAGGAGCCTTGTCAAATCACAACAAACATTAACAATTCTCTCTCCACCCAGGCCTGTGGTGTGACTATTGAAGAAGGCCCAGTGTCTAGAACTGGTGCCATTGGACCAATCACATCCATCTACTTCCGAGATCCTGATGAAAACCTCATTGAAGTTTCCAGTTACAACACAGACTTGGCTGCGGAGAAGAAAAAGTGAAATACTAGTTGACATCCTTTCTCTGCTTATCCCCTTCCTCGCTGATTTTATGTAAGACAAATTAGCCATGATTTTACCTTTTTTTTTGTGATTTTACTTTGATTTTTTGCAATATTTGGTAGATAGGGCAAACCTATGATTATTTTGACAGATCCAGAACCAGCATCAGCTCATGTGCAGGGTCCATTCCACTGGAAGCTGTGATGTGTGACAGAATTCAGAGAAATGTCTGATTTTGATCCCTCTGTTAATAAGGGAACAACCCTGGATAGTGTTAGGAAGGACTCAGTGGCTAATGTCAGGAATCTGCAGAAAATGCTTCAATGTCATTAAAAGGCATGGTAGAGATACATCTTGCAGACTAACTAAATCAGAGATGCATCATCAGCCACTCCCTGCAATAAGCAGTGTGCATCAAGAATCTCTCAGCTCCTTCCAGTGTACCATGTTACTGAACTCATACAAGGGCTGTAGTGGTTGCTTTAATCTTCCCTTGCTCTGCCTTTCACTGGATGAGGGGCTTGAGCCAGAACATTAATGGGAACAACCTCAGCTTCGCAGGATTTTGAATCTGAGCCCAGATATTAATTTCTCAGCTGCACAGTTCCTCAAATCCTAAACTGTAGACCAAAACACTGCAGCCCAATCCTTTAACGTGGCTAACGCACAGCTAGCCTGTATGTTCAGTCCCACCCATATTCATTCCACAGCAGAACTATAGACAGTAGTTAGCTCTGCATTGCTTCTTGTACTAGGTAGATTTAAGCTAGGCTGGGGGGAGGGAGGAGAGGTGGAGTGAAGGGGAAGGAAGGAAGGAAGGAGGGGGAGGAAATATCAACAGCATAGTCACACCTCTGATTGAACGTGCTTGTGTTCTCAAGCATATGTGCATGATTGTGTCTCCAGTTAGTAGCCAGGGACGTCAACCACACAGGTAGACAAAGATCACAGTGGAACTGGTGTCTATTCAAGCCAGATCTGAATTTGGCTCACTGAGAACAGGTGTGTTGCTCTGCCCTTCCCTTGTTGGTCTCTCAGAATAGATCAGGCTGGGGAGAGGATGAGCCATAGTGAAGAACCTGGCCCAGCTCACCTCATTAAGAAAAAAAAGCATCTGAGCAAATTTGCTCTAAGTGATATTGAGCTCACTGTGTTTGGACTGAGTTTGTAACAAGGTTCTTTCCTGACACACTACACAACAGTTCTGCATTTGGAGAGTCTGATCATCAGTGTTTTATGCCCCCCCCCAACCTACAGAACTAGAGGAACTTCCTGTGCCTCATCAACAGAATTGCTTCCCTCTGGGAGTCACTATCCATAATGTCCCAATCCATAGAGATGCAGAGGTGCATGCAATAAGAGTTACTTGCCTAAATACCTTTGAGCCTGAGGACTTAATACAGTCTGCAAAGCTCTTATTGCTTGTGATGATTCATGAGAAGGTAAAAAATCCCTATCTTAACTCCCAGGCCATACTTACATGGACAAGAGAGGGCTGGGGTTGGGGAAGGGAGATTGTTTTATTTTCCCCCAACTAAGTAGTTTCACTCCATTGAAACCCTACCTTGGCCCTTGTCTTAAGTAGCTGAGAAGGGCCTTGTTGAAAAAAAAAAAGAAATGGAAATGATCAGTATAAATAAACAAAAACTTTAAAAATCCCCTCTCAGATCTTGAGACAATTCAGCTGTTAAAGAAGTGACCCTGCTTTTTATTAAGCATCATAGATAAAAATCCACAGAGTGGCTACACACTTTCTTCGGGTGGCCTTTCCCCTGCTTCCTCGGGCAGGGTCTTGTCCAGTTGTTCTGTGTTTGTACAGCAACCAACACAGTGCAGCTGTGCACCATACATGCTTCAAAACATTGTACTGCACTTGTGCAATAGAAATAGTAGTTAGTGAGGTTCAGAGTGTAAGAAAATTGAAGTTTGAATCAACTGCTAAGGAGCAGTTTTTTTGTGTTCCTACTGCTGACTCCATAGACAGAGCTGGAAGTAGCAGTAACTGATGTGTTATCTACAGTTCAGTCCAAATCCACCATTGCTATACCCTCAAAGAAAGACCCAGCATATTAACTGGTCTCCCACTCTGGGCTGGGTGGGATTCAGATATGGAGGGTTCCACTCCATGGTCACTGGGTTAAATCCAGCCCCTGTTATTGAAAGTCAGAGCTTATCAGGAGTTGGTCTCAGATCAATCCCAGTGGATGCACATGGATGCATAAACAGACCCTGAGGGAGGAAACCTTTGCTAAAGACTGCTTTATAGCACTGCCTACATACTCATCATCACTGCAAGATGAGGTAGGAGAGCCCACGCCCTGGGGAGATTATAGTTTAATAGGCATATTAAAACACACAGATCAGGGCTTTGAGTGAGTTTCAGCTGAGGCAGCCCTAGAGTGTGAGGGGAACTTAGGTTCTAGGGCCAAGAAGTAGAGATGGGTTCCAAGCAGAGTCACAGAGGAGGAGGGTGATGGATGGAAAAGCAGCAGCTTATTGTTCCAAATAAAACAGTATCTATTTAAAATATAAAGGCATGAAATTAGCCCTGGGAGAAGGAAGAATTGGGCAGAGCATAGCGTATGAGAGCAAGTGTTGGGCTGGACAATTTACATCACCATTAACAGCTCAGCTGCCTTGACTCTCCTACTGACCAAATGTGAGCTGTGGGTGGAAAGTAGAGGGGCACTGATACATCGGTCCAATATTGGATCAGCACCGATATAAAGAAAATTGTCTGTATCAGAAATCGACCTGATATAGCCAATAATTTGACCGATAAATGGCCCGTGTATGCGTGTAGCTGCAGTACAGCACGTAGGCAGCAAGGGGTACAGCCCAGCAGCTTGAAGAACTGCGTGCAGCTGATAAGTCTGGTGTGTGGTAGAAGGGGGGGAAGGAGGGGGAAGGGAAAAGGTGTGGGGGGACAAATCTACACATGCGCTACTGCGCAGTAACTAATCAGGTATAAATTTGATACTTGCATGATGCAGGTATCAAATACATGCCCAAGCTGACATAAGTCACCATATTTACTGCATAGTACAGGCATGCGCATGTAGATGAGCACCCGTACTGCTCAGTAATTTTTGGTTACTGCACAGTAATTTAGGTTACTGTGCAGTAAATGTGCACATGTAGATGCACCTAGTTTGTAGCAGTTTGGTCCAACTTGGCCTGCTTACTAGTCTCTGTGCCTGTGAGACTTAACAGTGGAACAGTACTGGGCACTGTAGGTCAGGACTAAGGTATAGTGCAGTTTGAAGGATACGGTGGATGTGAGTTATAGGCATGTTTGAAGGATACAGCATTTAACTAGTCACAGTAGTCGTGCATTGGCAGAGCTGTGTGAGTGGGCACTCAGGACTGGAATCCCTGGGGATTCTGCAGGACAAGCTGGAGGGGCATCAGCAGAGCTGTGCGTGGGAGCCCAGCTCTGGAAGAGCAGAATGTACTGCTGGGCACAGCTGTGAGTAGGAGGCTCACACAGCCCTGCTCTGAGTGGTGTTTGACTCTGGTTGGCACCCATGGACCTTTTTGCATGAACATCAACTTGGCCCACAAATTTAGGAGACTGACTTACATCACAGCTGGATTAGTGTCACATTAAGAGGCACCATCTGACCCTCATCTGAGTTGTTGCCTGCATCCACATAGATATACATGGGTAGATTTTCCTTCTGATTGTGTATCATTTATTGTTTTTATATAAAGTGATGACTAGCATGAGCTGAGGATATAACAATTTCTCCATTTGCCTATGGGAGCAGTTCTCACAATAGCCACAAGAGGGCAGTCTTGTTATCAACATGGGCACTAGTAGAAAGTACTTAAATGGGAATAACATCTATGATTGTATCTATTAAAAATCTTCTCTAAAATCTAAGCATAATTGTCAAAATCTTTAGATTTTTATTCCTGATGGTACTTATGGGAAAATCCTGAATTTATGAGGGTTGTGGAGAACAGAAGGTTTATTAAATCTGTTTCAGCTAAACACATCTGTTTTGTATACATGTAACTGCAGAGGAGGGTGCAAATTTCAGACAATTGGCTTTCACTGTGCTAAGCATTATTTTTCCAATGTCATTGATACATGGATTTTATGGACAGTTGGGACAGCTATAATATTGATACCTTGTTCTCACATAGCGCTTTTTCACCAACAGACCTCAGAGCATTTCACAAAAGAAGCAGCAGCATTATTCTCATTTTACAGATGGGAAACCGAGTCTCAGAAAGGGGAAGTGGCTTGCTAAAGGTCACCCAGCAGGCCAGCCAGGCCAGAGCCCTGATGCTCCAAGTTCCATTCCAGCGTTCCATCCTCTAGACCGCTGGTTCTCAACCTTTTTTATACTGCAGACCGGCAAACTCACTCAAATAATTTTGGCAGACTGGGTATAGAAATAATCTAATTTACATATTTAAATTGGTAGATATTTAAATATGTAAATTTGTAAATATTAAATTTGTACCCAGGTGCAGGTTGTGGCACTGCAGCTGCAGGCACTGGGGGACCCTGCAGGGGAGGGGGCTGCACAGGTGGTGACCTCGGGGGATCCAGCTGGGGCTGCCTGGGAAGAAGGGCCTTTGCTGCCTTCCCTAGGAACAAGCAGTAGAGCCCCTCCCCGCCCTCTGTCCCAGGCATTTCCCCACCTGCATCTCCCCGCTCCCAGCCATGGGCAAGGCTGGGAGGTTCTGCCTGGTCTGGTGCAGGTCCCAGTACCTGCTGGGCAGGCAGTGCCTCACCGAGTGCAGCCATGGCGGTGGGAGTGGGACAGGGCACACGGAGCCAGCTGCCACCCTCTCAGGGCTGCCCCGCTGCCCACCTTTAACCCCATATGACTGCCCTCGGCGGAAGCCGCTCACCCGGGTGGACAGACCGGGGTCCGAGCCGGGGGCTCGTGCCATAACCTGGCAGTCAACTCTTTGTAGCCTGGTACTGGGCTGTGGGCTGGTGGTTGAGAACCTCTGCTTTAGGCCACACCACTTCTTACACCAGTTGTTTTGTCTCATTTTTTGCATAACACAGACCATTAAAACTTACCTGACAATTTCTTTCTCAATCTCGTACCTTCTGTTTAAGCTAAAGCTTCTTTTAAAGAAAGCCATCCTATACTGATTTAATGACTGCAAGTGTTGGAAAATCCACCACAACCCTAGGGAAGTTGTTCTGCTAATTAAATATCATCATAATTACACCTTTGTACCTGACTTCTAGTCTGACATTTTTATCGCTTCATCTTCCAGCTGTTAGTCTTTATTACACTGGGGTTTTTCCCTCATTGATAACTGTATTTTGCATTTATTGTTGCAGGTTAGTGTGTCTTTGTGGTTATAATCCGAACTGGCAGGTGCTATTGTTGTGCATAGGCATGTCCAGATGCACATCAGTTTTATATGAAAGAGAAAATTTTAAAAAAGACAAGCTTTTCTGATTGTAAGAAGTCATCCTATCTGCCAGAGTCCTTTGTGATTTATCCTGCAAATCAGTTCCTTTCTCTGGTGAAGCCCTGTGGGCGTTCATCAACTTTGCTTATTCATTTAACCAGCCAGACTGAAACTTAATCCACATGTTGCAGAAATTCATGTAAACTAATTCTAATGTTGAAAGATAAGATGTCAATGTGATTCTCAAGCACACTTCTGAAAAATATGGAGAGATGTCATTAAATTCTTGACTTACACCAGTGTAACCAAGAACATAATTTATATATAGGTACCTGATTTGCACTTAGACAAGGTGTAGACAAAACAGGGCCTAGTGAACAAATATGTTTCTGGGGCATGAAGGTCTTGCTTGTGATGTGTGTATCTTGAAGGTGAAAGGTAAGTACCTTGGCTGGGTTTTTTGGGAGGGGTTAGCAGTGAGGCAAGCTGGAATCAAAAACTCCATTTCTGTTTTAAAAAGCAGTTTTTGACTTTTGTTTCATGAGAAACAAATGCAAATCCCTGGTCTTGGAGTCTTCCCAAACCCATGTGAATATCCACCACCACCACCACGCTGGGGCTGAGAAACATCCATGATAATAAGTACTTGAAACCCAGGTTATTCGCACAAAATGTGATGGTTTCAATGACCTGGCATTTTTCTAACAAAAAAGGGCTTTGGACAAAAAAATTCCCAACCAGTTTCATTGGGCACAAATAATTAAAATAAAATTTTGAAGAGAATCTGGTGTGCCCCCAAGCCAGAGCTAGGCTGAAACTCTGGGCCCATATTTTTGAAAATTTGGTGCAAAGGGTCATAAAATTGGGAGGAAAGGCTGGACCAGTAAGGCAGAATCTCTCATTTCTCATGCCTAATGGCAGTTACAAAGCCACATGACTGCTAACTTTGGTGCTTACCAGAAATTTGTGAATCTGTTCCACATGACTACTGGATGTTAGACACCAGGAAAGGAAGAGGGATGCCCTCTCACCTTTTAGCCCAAGAGCCTCACGATTGCGGAACTTGTCCAGGAAAAGAGCAGAACTAGGTTCTGGGCCCCCCTCACCCCGAGGGTGATGGAACCTGCATCTTTCAGTTCGCTAGGACAACACTCTAACCATCTGGCTACAGGTTAGGCTTTATATAATCCTGATCGCCTTTTTTTCCACTGGACAGAAAAGATTGGGAAGTTTGTGCCCTATAGGCAGCAAGGGTCCCGGGTAGAACACAGGGGCCCTCCTTTACATGGGGGTAGCCGTCTTACTGAGCCCCACACCCTTGAGCTCACGGTCTTCCTCCTGGCCCAACTTTCTGTCTTTCTTGGCTGCCCAGGGGGCCAGCTTCATAAGCAATGCTGGAGAAGGGACTATAGTCCCAGCGGTCCGCTGTGAAACAACTCTGGCCTGTGGTTTGAGCACTGTATGGGGAAAGTCAGAATGCAGATGCATGTTCAAACCTCCTCTGGATGAGGGAGACCTCCCACTTCCCTTGTGGGAATCCCAATGACTAAACTGATGGGCTCCCTCACAATGGTCATAGGTTTTTGCCTGGTAACAGTTGCAGGATTTACACACATACAGAGCCACATACCTGCCTTGCAAGAGCATAGCCTACTGGGCATGCTCAGTAGTGGTGTGGATGCCTGTGCAGGTACCAAGAGCAGACACCAAGAATGGAAATGGTATTATTTTGGCCTGTAATTTTCAGCCTTGCCCAGTATGATCTCTGGGCAAAGCTGCCTGATAATCAGCTGATTGTCAGCTGGATGAGGACAACACTGGGGCTACTTCAAGCCCTGTTGTGATCCTAGAGCCAGCTGACAATCAAATGCTTATCAGCCGGTAGGATCTGCGCTAGGGCTGGCTGGAGACTAGTGCAATCCTAACCCTGCCACACATTTAATTTAAGGCCTGATGGAAACCAGTCACACAAAAATTACACATTTTTGTTTAATATTTGTGTGGCTGGTTTCTATTTTTTGGTGCCATTAATTCCCTGAATGTATGATTGAGTTACCTTTTTTAAATATGATTAACAGACTAATTGTGTGTTAATTGTAATGTCTGCCAGGGGCTCCAAAGGGAGCAATGTCTCACTGATCCCCAGGAGATGGATACAGCAGGGTCCAGTTGATTTTTTCCACCACTAGTTTGCTTTCTTCTATGAGATAAGTGTCTTTGTAGTGTCACTACTGGCTTGTTCAGACAGAGGGATGTAATCCCCAGAGGCACACCTGATGGTGTATTGGCACTGTGTCTGACATCTGAGATCATAGGGGCACTTCCAGCGGGAAACAGGACAAGCTGTGTTTTGTGCCTGCTTTGATAGCAAATACCAGATTGCATCTTCATGGTGTCAGGTAACTCGGAATCCCCAAAGGTACCTGCAGTTTCAGTCTCTCCCCATTAACCTGAATCCACCACTAAA